TGTCCAGTTTCTACTCTTAGTAGCTCTTGTACCTGTTTAGACTAGATTCTTGGGGGTGTTAGTTACTTTACAGATTTTAACCCGAAATTGTTTAAAAGGTTTTGTTTATGAAAACCCTATGACTTTCTTTTATCTCTGTTTTCGTTAATTTTCCGCATGTTTTAACTAATGGGTTATGAGGGTTCTCCTACTTAGGTGTTAGAGTGGGTGCCCGCACTGCCCGGTGGGTTGGATCGTGATAGATCTTTTCTGCACATAATTATTTTTTGACTTCTTTAATTGTTATTATTTGAGTTTTTTATTCTTATTTAATTCTCTCATTCATTCTTAAGTGTAAAATAAGAGAAATAAAAAGAAAAAAAGTGTGAAAGAAAAAAGATTAAAAAGTTTTAAAAAATAATTTTTTTTGCGGCTGTTTTGTAATTTAGTTTTTATATTGGTAAAAAAAAAATATTTGGGGCATCCATAATAAATTTTACAAGAAACTAAGTGAAAAACATAAGTTTGACCATTAAAATAATGAATTCAAATTAGTCGATGAATAAAAATAGTCAAAAAAAATGTGTGAGAAGGATCAAATATACCCCCACGTGGATTATCTTCTTTTTTTTTCAATGAAATTTTTTTTAAAATAATTTAGTTTTTTTTTCACTTCCGTTAGAAGAAAATGGTATATGTGAGTCATTTGTGTAATAGTGAGGATATATATGAGTCACTTTCATAACAAGGGGAAGGGGTATACTTGACCGTGTTTGTTTGAATTTTTCAAATATCAAACCAAACAATTTGTGTTAAATTTTTTAATTTATAAACCAAACCAAATAAGACTCGGGTTTTTCGGGTTGGCTCAGATTTTTCAAATATCAAACCAACCCATTTGTGTCGAATTTTTAAATTTTTAAATCAAACCAAACTAATAAACCTTGGATTTTTTTGGATATTTGGATTTTTCGGTTAAATATTCATACAAACATATAATTAATATGTGTTCCAAATATTACTTTAGTCCAACTAAAATACAACTATCTAAGGTGTTTCTTATGAAAATATTATAAAATATGAGATGAGTGATGACACTAATATATTCAATAAAAAATAATAATGAAATATTATAAAATAAATATTGCAAATTGATAAGTCATAATGAAAATGATCATAATTTAAAAGTACTAAAGCATGCTAAAATAAGTCTAATAAGTATTAATTACATTATTAAACATTAGAGAAAATTAAAATTAGGTTATGTATTTTAAATGTATAAACCAATGTAAAACTAAAGAACAAATATTTAACATTATTGTCATTATTAGTGTTGAATTAATTTTTTTTGTTAGCATTAGTATTGATTTGATTTGGAATTGAGCTTTATTAGAGTTACTAATATCTATGGACTATAACCTTTCTTGAACAATTCAAAATTCTAAATTTCAAAAAACTTGAAAAAATATATTAAAAGATAAAATTTATGAAAACTTATAAGTAATATTTAGAAATTACATCAAAGTAAATACTTTTATGCATAATATAAATTTTAAAAATTATATATATATAAATGTTGGGTTGGTTTGGTCTCGGGTTGACTCTTTTTAGTTTAAACCAAACCAATCCAAATATAGTCAGATTTTTTTTCCAATACCAAACCAAGTCAAGCCAAACCATTGGTCGGGTTATTTTCGATTTCAGTTTGATTCGATTTTCGGTTCGATTTTCTCGTTAGTATATTAGCTCTAAATGACAAAAATAAAGGGTATATCTGACCCTTTTTCCTTTTCTTTAAATGGTAAAAAAATTTAAAAATCATGATATCTTAAATTATGTATTTATGCAACTTTTCCTTACTTTAATTGCCGTATAATCGAACCCGGCCTGCCTATTTCTACGGTCTACAGGAAATGCAACTTTGTCGAGATTTGCTAATACAAATGAAAAATATGTTACCGTCTAATATGCTTTTATTGTTTAGGATAGATACTATAATAAGGGAAAAGAGGTTTGATATACCCTTAACTTTGTCATTTAGAATTGATAAACTCTCGTTATCAAAGTGACTTATATATACCTTACCGTTATACAAATGACTCACATATACCCCTATCGTACAAAAGAAACTCACATATACCTTTAATCTAACGAAAGCGAAAAAATAGTTTTAAATTTATATTTTTGACATTTAATTTTAAAATAATTCACGTAGGGTATATATCCTTCTAGTAAGTCAAAGGTATATTTTAATTTTTTTCATACATAAATTATTTTTTAATTTCTTTGATTGTCATAATTTGAGTTTCTCATTCTTATTTTATTTTTTCTTTCTTTCTTTAATGTAAAAATAAAATACTATTTTCTTGTGGCTATATTATAATTTAAGACTATTTTTTTACTATTTTGTAATTAGGCTTTTGTATTTGTAAAAAAATTTAGGGCATCTACAATAAATTTTACAAGAAAATTAGTGAAACATAAATAAATTTGATTATCAAAATAATAAATTTAAATTAGTCATTGAAACTAAAAAGAAAAAAAAATGTGTGAGGAGGATCAAATATACTCCATATGGATTATATTTCTTTTAAAATTAATTAAAAAATTAAATTAAAATTAATTTTTGCACTTCCGTTAGAGGAAAAGGGTATGTGTGAACCATTTGTATAACAATAACGTATATATAAAGCACATTCATAACAATTTATATATCTGCTCTAAATAGTAAAGTTGAGGGGTATATCAGGACATTTTCCCTTATAATAATTAAGCATCCTTTACTTCCTAAGTTACAATTATTATTATTTTTGTGGAGAAACTACACAATTAGACATACTTTACTTATTATGTATACTATTATGTACTTTTAAAATGTTATGTATCTTACTACTAATTAAGAAAAAATCCATTTAAATATATGTGTTTTTGCGCACCAGATACACTAAAATAGGGAGACAGGCGAATGAGATTTTATTATGTATCCCATATACATGTGCATTAGACTGAATAAACACTATATACATGTATATGTATGTATTTGGTATGATTCACATGTATTTGGGATACCAGATACATGAGAGAGTGGCGAGCGAGATAGCAGAGAGGCGAGCGAAATTTGTTATGTATCTCATATACATGTAATTCACTTGAATATAATGTATCTAGAACAAATTTGACCCATATCTGGACATATTTGAACGTGTCTAGACGCTACAAAATCAAATAAGATATGTAATATTGCAAATTAGATTGTATCTAAATTATTAGCTCCTAAACTAGTGAAATATACGTAAATTCCCTTTCTTCATCCCGTATTTTAGGAAAAGAATACTAAATTAACTTGGTTAATCTAATACTTTATCATTTTGAAGATATAATGTTCATGTTTGAGAGGAAATTTGCATTTGAGTTTATAAAGAAGAAAATGCTTGCTATCTAATATTATTGTTTTAATATGACTTATCATTTTTAAGTACTAATGTAATCGACGAACAAGTTGTAGTTTCCACATACATGTTTTTTTTGTCTGATCATCAATTTCTATCGAATCAATAAAAACTTAAAAGGCCTAATTTAAAATTCGTATATTTGAAATTTGCAATTTCAAACCCAGTATTTCAACTTCGATCCAGTATGAGTGAAGTTGATTATGAAATAGCTAAACATTAACTATTTTGTAATTTTCCAATACATGTCTTAAATAATGATCCTCCAAGTGACTTCTCTTTGAAAGCCAATTTCAGTTATTTTGGAAGAGGCTAAACATTACATATTTTATAATTTCTTATACCATGTGTTAAATAGTTGTCCTCCGAGTGGCTATATGTGCACATGGCCCCAAAATCCAGATTCACATGACCTAATATAGATTGGGCTCTAACAAGCATTAAACACAATTTAAATTGAGCGCTTCCGCTAGTCAAAGATAATATAGTATTAAAATCATATCAATAAAAATTAATTCAAATAAGAAATCGAATAAAATTAGTTAATTATTATTCAGGTGATTAAAATTTAATCTAATTATGATTATGAACCACCAATTATAGACAAAATTGTCACTAAAGACAACTGATGACAATCCCAAATGATACTTTCACTAAGAGAAGTAAGGGTGACAAAACATGTGCAAGATGATTATGGAAATACGACTATACTCTATTATTCATGTCTTAAGTCTTATCAATTCTCATGATTTCAATAGTTAATTAGAATATTCCTAAGACATAGATTCCTCTTTCGAGCAAGTCTAAATTTAATTGAATAAACTAATTACAATTCAGTGAACATAAATATGCAAGAAAAGGGATTCAGATTTACTCTTGAGGAAGAATGTATTTTGTTTTTTGACTATTTTATCACTTTAGTAAAACCTATGATTTCAATAAGTTCTTTTGATTACTCTAACGAAATCACGAATTAATTTTTTAAAAATGCAAAGATAGTTACTAAATTGTCTTTACGGCAATTAATTAGTCTACCATCAATGTACCTTTTTAATCTCATTTTATAAATTAAATAAAATAGAATACCTTAAATGCAAAGATAGTTTCAATAAGTTTTTTCTTCATAATCTCATTCTATAAATTAAAATAGAATAACTAATTGTGTCCTTTTAGTGATTTTTTTATTTTTATAATTATTATTTAAGGACAATTTTTAACTCTTTTCCATTTATTTTTTTAAAAGTAGAAACATTTTAGTATGGCGCTAGTTAAGTAATACGAATAATAAATATAAATAAGATAACTATAACAGGAATAAAATAAGATAACTTGAAAAGTTGGTTACAATTTACACTCATATTACTAAAAAAGAAAAATATGTGACAAGGACAATATTAAAATATCTACCTATCATTAGTACAATTTACCTGAAGTTAAACTACAAGGAAATTTAGAAGTAACGCGGTCGGCGCAACCTTGGTAGGATTAGGAATCACGCCGTCCCTATTATAAAGCTATATGATCGACTCTGTAAAAACCCCAATTACCTAACAAAAAACATACATAGATTCAATGGCTTCCATTAGATGGAGCGGAGGAAGAACTATAGGAAAAGGCGCTGAAGGTATTGTCACTTTAGCAACTACACACAACAATTTCTCCATCGCTGTCAAATCTTCTCTGTTTTCCCGTTCCAAATCGTTACAGAGGGAGAGAGAATTTCTCAACGAATTTCAAGATTGTTCCCAAATTATTCGCTGTTTTGGAGCGGATGTCACTGAAGAAGATGGCGATATTCTCTATAATATATTGCTCGAATACGCTGTTGGTGGAAGCTTAGCCCATCGAATTGGTAAAAAATCAGGATTGCCGGATTTTGAGGTAAAAAAGTACTCAAAATCAATTCTATTGGGGCTTAGGGTTGTTCATGGAAGGGGTTTTGTTCATGGTGATATCAAACCGCACAATATTCTACTCGTGGGTACTGAAAAAACGGCCAAAATTGCGGATTTTGGATTCGCAAGCAAGGTAGGTAATGAGGATAAGAAAAGAAAGCTTAGGGGAACGCCAATGTATATGGCACCAGAATCGGTGCTTGATGATGAATATGGAACTCCCGCTGATATTTGGGCTTTCGGATGCACTGTTTTTGAGATGATTACTGGGAAGAAAGTGTGGGATTGCAGTGGAATTAACGATCCTCTTCATCTTTTGTGCAAAATTGGAATGCAATCACCGGAGTTGCACGACGACAAGTTATCTAAGCAGGCAGAAGATTTTCTGAATAAGTGCGTTGATAGGGATCCGCATTCTCGATGGACAGCTGATCTGTTGTTGAATCATCCTTTCCTTTCATCTGATAATAATGATGTTCATCAGGAACTCAACCTTGTTGATCTATGCAATAGTACAGAGCTGAAACTAATGAAACTGTTGACCAACAAGAGGAGAAGAAAACTAGTGGAAAGATGTTGATTATTATTCATCTTTTGATTACTCCGTATAAAGTAACACATTGGCAACCTTCTGATCCTGCCCCTTGTATTAAAACAAAACAACTTTATGATATATGATAGTAGTAGTAAGTACTATAAATGAATGAGAAACCTCTTTGCTAAAAACTAGTCCATCATGAGTTAAGAGACCAGGTCTCTTGACAAAACTAGTAATAGAAGTATTTAAGTAAAGGATTAAAGTAACACAGATCTTTACATGGAAATCTCTTTACTCAAAAAAGAAAAAACCACGACATGTCATATAAAATTTCTCAAAACTCCATTAACTCAAACAATACGTTGATATAGACTCAACTACGTACGGCGGATTAAACTCTTAATCCTACACACCTTATAACTCCTCTATTACAAGACACAAAACAATAACTCTATTGTCCAGTATATCAACTACCTCTAGATAATATAGATTTCACTACAAATACCACTTGATCACTAACTTTAACCACAAACTCAACTCACAATCACAAAAGATGAAATGATCTACAATCATTTATATTATAGGAGTAGATCAACAAATATGAGAGCACAAGACACTAAACTCAAACAACAACGGAAGACGATGCAATACTCAATCAGGTCCCTCGTTGTACGTGTGAGAAGACTTTCTACTTGAGAATGGCTTTTGCTTTTTGTATTTTCTTGATTGCAAAAACTAGGTTTAATCTTGTCAACATGTTCATTTTATAAGAGAGACAAAAAACCTAGTTAACACGCCATTGATCGAGGATTGGTGTCCTCCGCACATATGTTGCAGTGCCCACCAACCACTGTAGTTTCTGCATCTTTACAACTGCACACAATTGACCTGACCTTTAACATGAGAGTTCTGAGGACCATGTCCTTTGCACCTTAGTTTGTTAATTCATCAAAACCTAGAATATAACATTATCATTTAAAGATATAATGTTCATGTTTGAGAGGAACTTTGAGTTTTGAGTTGACAAACTCGGTATAAATTGAGCGTTTCGCTAAATAAAGATAATATAGTATTAAAATGAGATATGGCATAAGTATTCTTTAGACTATAATCGAAATTTCAGAGACACGTCTAAACTTAACTAGGGTTCTATTACCCCCTAAATTATTTTAAAATGGAATAAATACACCACAAACACTGACATGGCATAGAGAGTGTGCACACTCTCTTGAAGGCAAGTGTTGAGTGCACAAATTGGACACGTGTCATTTTTTTATTAGTAACTTTACAATTAGTTAGTACACATACTTATTGATATTAAAAATTATATATATTTAATTATTTTTATTTCTTTGTAAAATATTTATTTTAATTTCTTCTTCACTTCAAAACTTTTTTTAATTACTCCCTCTGTCCCATTTTATGTGGCAACATTTGACCGGACACGGAGTTTAAGAAATAAATGAAGACAGAGAAAATAAAATCAATAGAAAAATAAAAGAGTAAAACAATGAATGAAGGTAAAAAAAATGTGTATTAACTTAATTTAAATACAAGATAAAGAAAATAAGATTATTTAATAAAAAAAAAAATTTGCACACATGGCAGACGAGTGTGTACAAACACAACCAACTTGAATGGTTGAAGGTGGCATGTCAACACAAAAATACAAAAAAAAATGAATTCATTGATAATATGACCCTCATTAAATTTTAGTGTGTCTAAAATTTCAATCATAGCCAAGGAAATACTTGTGCCTTATTCTTAGAAAAAAGTGGTACATAAGTTGCCTAAAGTTAAAACTATGTATTAGGAGAAAAAGAGGAAAAAATTTAGAAGTAACGCGGTCGGCGCCATAAACCTTGGTAGAACTGGAAAACACGCCGTCCCTATTATAAAGGTATATAAAAACCCCAATTACCTAACAAAAAATTAGATAGATTCAATGGCTTCCATTAGATGGAGCAGAGGAAGAACTATTGGAAAAGGCGCTGAAGGTATTGTCACTTTAGCAACTACACACAACAATTTCTCCATCGCTGTCAAATCTTCTTTGTTTTCTTGTTCCAAATCGTTACAGAAAGAGAGAGAATTCCTTAACGAATTTCAAGATTGTTCCCAAATTATTCGCTGTTTCGGAGCGGATGTCACTGAAGAAGATAACAATATTCTCTATAATATATTACTGGAATATGCTATTGGTGGAAGTTTAGCTCATCGAATTGGTAAAAAATCAGGATTACCGGATTTTGAGGTAAAAAAGTACTCAAAATCAATTCTATTGGGGCTTAGGGTTGTTCATGGAAGGGGTTTTGTTCATGGTGATATCACCGTTGTCTGTTCATAATACCTTTGTTGAAGCGAAGGACACCAGCCGCAGTATGTGTCCTGTCGGTAGCTGATCGATTTCTCTCTTTTTTTGTGGCTGAGTATGGTTCTTGTTGAACACCTTTTTTTTCTAATACTTTTGGTTTAGATACTTCCCTTTTCATCATTGCTTCTTCACTCTTGTAATTTTCCAAACCTGTTTCTGAAAATGCTTATCTTGAGATCTATCATAAGGTCTGTGTCCACTCTAGGTATCTTTATACGTTACATCATATAAATGCAAGTTTCGATCCACCGTAGTCCTATTTTTTCTTCTCTTTCCCATACAACATAAGTTAATTCATTATTTCAAAGGATTGGAAAGGTTGAAGGAATGTTATTCCTTCAATCTCCCTGCATAACCTTCTGTCATAGTGATTACAACCTAGATAAAGACAAGCATGTTACTGGTCTCTAATAAAAGACAGACAAATAAAACAGTAATCCCAACTTGAAAAGGTCTAGAAAACAACTATTAGCAACAATTCATTCAATCTAACATGAACAAAAAATTTAGAAAAACAATAGGAGGAAAGAATACAAAAGCATAAGATAGGTGATAAAATGTGAAACAAGGAAGAACAAAACAACGTGAACAGTCAAACAGCTGACTTACCGATAACTACAACAAATATATTTAACATTTTTCAATGGGATGCGAGTGATTCTTTAGCTCAAAGAAGTGTCCATCAATGGTTTGAATGGATAGGTGTTCCAATCAATGCAAAATCTAGAACACTGTCATCCATCCAGCTGACATATCGTGATTTAGGAGATGCAACACAAAGGGGAAAAGATGCACAAGCTCGATTTTGCTCACATCTACGAACCTCATCATAAAACATCAGTTCTGGCATCTCTTCCACTTCGGCATAATGTTTCATTGGGCTATCTGGCTGATATGTTGATGACTACATTTCAGAAACAAAATGTAACTTAACAAATCAGAAATTGAAATACAAAAACATTGAATGTGTACGTGAGGAAAAGGTGTTAAGAATGCAAATAATACCTTCGACTTCATTGATGGTTTTAGTGCATGTGGAGATGCTCCTAGATGCACAGGGACATCATCTGCCAAAGGAAAACTGGATCAGCAAAATATTTTCAAAAAAATATATAACGCGATTCAAGTATCAGCATTGATCGTACCATGATCTAATCCAATTTCATTCAGAAAACAACTCATGTCCATCACCTTTCTCTGTGCTTTGACGCAATTCTGATGATTATGGAGAAATTGTTCTTTTGCAACAGACGACGACTTGCTTGAGTTTGTAAGATCAGCTAGTGCTTTCCTGCCACCCTTTTTCTCCAGACCTTTAGAATAGTTAGCTTTCGTTCCTGCACTAAATTTCTTTCTAGAGGCATCATAATCTTTCCCAATAGAAATTCTATTGGTGGAATTATTTTTCTTTGATGCTTGTAGAGCAGAAGGCTTTGCCGAGTTTGAGATATCATTAAGCGCTTTTCTCCCACCAATCCCTCCTCCTCCTTTCTTCTGTGCCTTGTAGATACCATTCTTCCCCACCAGAGAAGCCCCTGCTTAAAAAAAAAAAAACACACAAATTTTTTAGCTAAGAAATAGTAACAAGATCACATCAATGTATTTCATATGTGTAAGATGAAATTTATACCATCATAGTGTACACTTATATTCTGATCTTGAATCAGGTAAGCTCCTGGTGTAGCCATTCCTATCAGCAAAATTGTGCAGTATATCCCCTGCTGTAAATCCCAAAATAGAAACAGAGCAACAAGAAACGAGTGATTAAACCACAAACATACTATGATAAACCTAGGGCATATTGGAGCAACAACGAGAAAATTGAACAACACCAGCCTATGCTAAGCAGAAACAACTTCTGCTGTATTATCAATGTTCAATCAATTTGATAATTACATTTCAAAATAGGAAGATGAGAAGACAAGAGGAGTTGCTCCGATGGTAAACACCGTTCACCTCCAATCCTATATTCAGTCTTCTAGAAAATTGAGCTTCTCGGTAATTCCGCCCTAAATTCTTGACATTGGAAACCCCCTCCCATTTTCAACCGTCAAGAAATTTTACTTCCATTGAACAAAATTAAAACCAAAGGGTGGCCATGAAATTAGTACTAATCACCAGAAATGTCGGGGATGCAGAAAATTGGGGAAATACAGAAAACAGAAATGAAGCAACAAAGGAAACATCAATATGCTAATATCAATCGAGATTTCAACAAACAACCGCATGAAATACGCAACAAATTTGAATATTTGCAGTAGAACAAAGACAGAAAACTCACAGAATTGATTTGACCAACTAAAATTTTCAGTGTTGTTCACAAATTTATTCCAAAAATATGTCAGTCTTTCTTCTTTCTAAGCGATTTAATCGAATTCTTTTATGTTTGTGTGTTAGTTAATCCTGAAAGTAAGTTTTTAAATTGCAAAACGGAAGCTTTGGTGAGAGATAAAGTAAGTATATAGAAACGTCCTGCAACGGTCAAATTTCCTATTATCTACTGGTTTTTACTTTTCATTCACCAAGGAGCGTTTTGGTTTAGGGACAAAATTCATTATGCGGTTAAGCAAATTTATATTATTTAATTACTTATAATAGTTATAGTTTGCTATAATTATCACTCGCAACTAATATTATACATTAATTACTTGGGTTGACTTCGAGTTTGTATAATTAACCACATTTGTATTAATTCGCCAGAATATACAAATACATATGTATAATATACAATTATCTAACCGATATACATATACAATTCACCTCTCTCTCACTCTCAATCTCTCTCTTCTCTCTCTCAATCTCGCTTTCCATTTATACAAATACATATGTATAATATACAATTATCTAACCGATATACATATACAATTCACATCTCTCCCACTTTTTGCCCTCTCTCGCTCGCCTCTCTCTCTCAATCTCGCTCGTCTCTCTCCTCCCTATAACATGTAGCTACGAATTGTAATTATCAAACTATAGCTATGGAGAGTAATTAGGCTATTTTTGAGTAACTATATGTGAAAGTTCATCAATTTAGTATAGGGATAAATAATGAAGTATATACTTTCTCTATTCATTTTTAGTTGTCATGGGCTTTTCAAAAGTTAATTTGATTAATTTTAAAATTTAAATTAAATTACATTATTTTGATATTTTACACAAAAAATTTAGATATTCAAAAACTATACGAAAAAAACTATAAATTGCAATTATTTACATTTCAATATAATGAAAAAAATACATCATAAAATATTAGTCAAAGTTCTTATCATTTCACTCTAGAAAAGAAAATCATGATAATCAAAATTGGACGGAAAGTATTAAATTTTAGCATATAAAGTTAATTATTAATATTCAATTCTACTTTCAAGTTTCAATGTTACTATTAATAGGGTTAGTTTTGTCATGTAGCATTCTAATTAGGGGTGTACATAACCAGGTTGGTTTGGATTTTTCAAATATCAAATTAAATCATTTGTGTAGAAAAATTAAATTTATAAACCAAACCAAACTAATAAATTTCAGATTTTTTCGGATTTTTCAACCTCGGGTTGGTTCGGATTTTTCAAATACCAAACCAAACCATTGTGTCGAATTTATAAATTTATAAATCAAACCAAACTAATAAACCTCGAATTTTTTCGGTAAAGTTTGCATATAAACATATAATTAACTTGTGCTCCAAATATTTCTTTAGTCCAACCAAAATACAATTATCTAAGGTGTTTCTTAAGAAAATAACACAAAATATGAGATGAGTGATAACACTAAATATTCAATAAAAAATAATAATGAAATCATCATATAAAATAAATACTGCAAAGTCATAATGAAAATGATCATAATTTAAAAGTACTAAATCATGATAAAAATAAGTTTAATAAGTATTAGCTACATTACTAAATATTTAAGAAAAATTAAAATTAGATTATGTATTTTAATTGTTTAAACCAATGTAAAACTAAAGAACAAATATTCAATATTATTGTCATTCTTAGTGTTGAATTGATTTTCTTTTTGCACTAGTATTAATATGATTTTGATTTAAGTTTTATTATAATTATCAACATCTATGAACTATAATCTTTATTGGACCATTCCGAATTCTAAGTTTTAAACTTGAAATAATATATTAAAAGATAAAAACTATGAAATAGTATAAGAAATATTTTTAAATTATATCAATGTAAATATTTTTATGTATAAAATAAAATTTTAAAATTACATATATAATATCGGGTTGGTTTTTTTAGTTAAAACCAAATCAACCCAAATATAGTCGGGGTTTTTTTTCCAATACCAAACCAAGTCAAACCAAATCACTAGTCGGGTTTTTTGTTCGATTTGACTCGATTTGCGGTTTGGTTCAATTTTGTACACCCCTAATTCTAATACATGTACTACTAATTAGGATGTTTGTGGTTTGATTTGGATCGTTTTAAAAAAAAAATTAAATCAGTTTTTAAAAATCAAATCATATCAAATACAATAAATAGAACCATTGATTTAGTTTGATTTTTCAATTTATAACTAGTTAATAGTAAATTGACAATAGTGAATAGCATAGACATGTGATAAGTATTTCAAATCTACATTAGGAATCAACAAATTTCTCTCTATTGTTACTAGATATTAGTATCTCAATCTTTTATTATTTTTCAACACTTTAAGAAGTTTTAGCATGTTTAAGTTGCATAACGATAAAATTTACTTCACTTCACATGTCTAACATCTACATAATTAATATACAACTTTAAATAGAATCGGTCAATCCTTCAAAAATCAAAAGGGCGGATCATTGAAGAGTAGATAGATGTGGTAGTAAAAAAAAAAAATTAAAAATCGGCAATACACACACCACACTACATATAGACAATTAGACTTAGGTTGGTTCTTTTTTATAATTTTAATTTCTTTTGTCAAACAAATTTGAAATTCATGCAAGTTTCAATGTTTGTAACCATAAAAAAACATTTTTTATGAAAGAATTATTAATGCACAATGACTAACACCTTTATGAGAAGATTTAATGTAAAAACTCATTATAATTACTCTCATTCTCTAGGTCTCCTTGATCTGATTATGAAGTTTAAATACTCATAACTTTGTGTATGCAATTAAACAAATTATAACAATTAAAGAATATTAAGAGCATGTTGGTATTATTGCTAAAAACAACTTATTTTTTGAAGACTTTTTAAAAATGGTTTTTAGAAAAGTTTTTTTGAAAAAACAAACAATTTGTGTTTGACTTATTCATTTGAAAATTGTTTTTCATAAACAAATTGTGTTTGATTAATCTTTTAAAAAAATGATTTTGAGAGTCAAATTACAAAAAAAAAAAAAAAAAAAAAACTATTAATGTACTTCTAATATTAACATTGTTTTATAAAGAGAAACTATTTTAAATATTTGTTATAAAAAATTAATTAAATTTATTTTTATTAAATTAAAATTTACATGTTTAAATTTTCAATCAATATTATACCTTTTTGGGGAGGCTAAAATCTTTAAAATTGTTATTTTTTTTCTTTTTTCTAATCTTATAAAAATGTTGTTATTAGTTTTTTTCTAATTCTATAAACAAAATATAATATATAAAATAATAATATATAAATGTAAAATAAATTATAAAATTTATTATATAAAAATAAAAAATAAAAAATAAAATTCTTAAATGAAATTTAACCAAACTTATGGAATATGCAATTAATAAGAAATATATTGGTACATATGCATATATGAAAAAGGATATTTTAGTCTTGAGAAAAATAATTTTTTGTTTCTTCTTCTACTTTAAAAAAAAAATAATTAAGCTTCTTTTCAACCGTAGAAAAACTGCTACTGCTTCCATTTAAAATCACTTTTACTGATTTTTCAAACATTTAATTTTTCAACAAAAGCATTTTTTTCTTTCAAAATAAGTGTTTATGGCCTCCCAACAACAATGTCAAACAGGCTCTAGGCTTATAAAGAGAATGATGAAAAGAGACCAACTGAATTTTGGAATAATAATCAATACTTAGGGCCCGTTTGGCCATGTATTATGGAATCGTGATATGATATCATAATATGAAATCATGAGATGAAGCTGAAGGTTTGTTTGGACATACGATATGAAATTTTTGTGTTGTATATTTTCTCATTAACATAAGAATCTCATAAGTTGTAAAACTATTAAAATAGCCCCAATTGTTTATTCAATCTTATCAAATAACAAAATTTATAAAATCACATAATAAATTATTACAAAGCTATTTGTTCTCCACTTAATTAAGTGTTTCATCTAACTTTAATTCAATAAAAAAAATCGAACATAAATTGTAGTGTACTAATCTTATATAATCCCCCCACATAGTACGGGCAATCTTCTCACGTTAAACTTGCATTTCTCGATCATATGACCGAGAAGACGAACCAACATTGTTACTTTGAACCAGTTTTTGGTCAATATCATTCGCAACTATATTTTCATGCTCATAGACCATAAATAGTTCATCAGTACTCCTTTGGTATTCTCGCAAATAATTATGTAACACTATACAAGTTATGACAATTTTCACTTGTGTGTCAATATCATATGGTTCATGCCTTGTTTCACTTGTTGCAATTACACATTTTTAGTGCATTAATTTCGTGCTAAAATCAAACATATTGGAAGTAGTGATTATCAAACATATATCACCAATTT